GCCCAAAACTCAAATTATGCTTACAAAAGTAATTACAGGAAATTTTAATTAATTTAATTAATCGTGAAGAGCCAGAGACCCACACAAAAACTGAGAGAGAGAGAGAGTGGGCGAGAGCGAGAGAAATCACTTTGATAATTCCATGAAGCTTTTTTGAGAAGCTTTCAAATCATGGTGTGGGTGGTTAAGGATATATGTAAATTACAAATCCTGAATTGTATGTATATATCACACCACCATATATGGCAGTTTTTGTTGTACACCACCCACAACTGCTGCTACTACTACTACTCCTTTTTATGTTGACAATCAAACTCAGGCAGTCAGTCATACGACCTTGAGTATTTTTATGGCTACACGTGCTTGGGAGTAGCAAAAAGCTACAAAAACTCGGAGAGAGAGAGAGAGAGCAAGCAATACTCCCATGCGTATATACTAGGATGATATAGATATAAATATACATATATATACTACCAGACAACATTAGAGTCATTGTGATGATTATGATGTTGCTTGCCGCGCCAAATGGGGGCATTAACACCAAGAAAATTCCAAAAAAAAAAACAGTCATAATGTCCTGTAGAGACACCACCAAACGGGATGATGAGAGAGAAATGTAGGTTGGGGAAGGTTTTGCCGCAGACGCCAACATAAATTTTCCATTGACTCTTGTTGGGTGGGTGGTCGGTCGGTCGGCCACCGGTAAAACTGTCAAGAGGGCAAAGTCTCAAGAGAGCTTAACAATAATACGAGAAGGGAAAAGCAGTACTACAACACGAGGGAACAATTGTGTGCCATGTATTATGGGGGAGGATGGGAGGCTTACAATGAAACATAAATTTTTTGGCGCCACAAAGGTTTGGGTATAGAAGAAGAAGAAGTTATACAAAAATATTAAACTTTTGGTTGAAAACAGACGGAGAAATAAAACAAAGGCAAGGAATGGGAATGGAAATTTAAACTAATTGGCTTCGAAAATTAAAAATAAAAGAAAAAATATTTTAAAAAAAAAAAATATTAAAAAAAAAAATTTAAAAAAAAAAAATATTAAAAAAAAAAAAAATTTTTAAAATAAAAAACAAAAAATTTTTAAAAAATTTTTTAAAAAAAAAAAATTAAAAAAAAAAAAAAAATAAAAAAAAAAATATTTTAAAAATTATTAAAAAAATAACATACAAAAAACTAAAAAAACAATTTATAATATTAAAAAATATGTTAATATTGAAACATATTTTTGCTAATTTAAAAATTGACATAGTTTTTGAGGCAATTAAAACGAATATTTCAAATATTTCTTTAATTATTTAAAATTCCTAAAACAAAAATAATAGATAATAACAAACTTCCTATTACTTTTGGAAAAATAAAAACATTTTTTGTTTAGCATGACTCAAAAAAACCAAAGCTTACACGTCGTCTTTGCGTGTGGTCTCACATAAAAATGTCTGTTTTTGGTTAATTTATTTTGCGTAACGAACAAGACAAAAACAATAACAACAAAAGTGATAATTAAACAAAAATGTTTTGTTGCCATTTTTGGGGTCTTTTTATAGCCTAGAGACAAAAAAATGCCAAAAATTAACTAGGCCTATGATGGTAACACTTCCCAGAGTGGTATGTGTATGTGTGTATGAATGAATGGCAACATAGCAAAAAAAGATTAAATAGTTTTTTTGGTCATAAAAACATTAAAGTTTTTTATTTGATTATCTATTTGGCAAAGTGTATAGTAAAAAACTACGGGAGGCTTTAACTAAAAAAGTAGAAGAAGAAATAGCACTGACTCCGTCATTGGCCTTAGAATTTCCAATTTTTAAGACTTATATTTTTATTTGTACTTTTTTTGATTTCAATTTTCTAATTTTTGGATTTAAATTTATATTTTATATATTTTTTATTTTTGTATAATTTTTTATATATTTTATGATTTTATAAAGTAAATAAAATATTTTCTATTTTTCATTTCTAATTAATAATCAAAAATATATTATTTTAATAAAATTTCCCATAATTTCACATTTTTAATGCTTCTCTAAATACTTCCCAAAATAAAAAATATTCAAATTAAGTGAGAAAAAATTCACAAAACATGAAATATAATAATATCACCACAATTTCCTGTGCCCATAAAAAATTCGCTGTTGTTGTTTTTTTCCACTCTGATCTTTAAATTTAAATCACAAAAACTACAATAAAAAAAAAAAAGAAATCAAAACGCCAAAAAATTTAATTCAGAATTTAGAGCGCCTAGCAACTAAATTTGCTTAATTCAGCATCTTAAGAACTACTACAAACATGATTGCCGGTATGAGCAGACAACACCCCTGCTGCCGCAGAGAGCTCACACATAAAGAATGAACGGAATGGTCGGTCAAACAGCATAAAAAACCCATGTCCACACACAGCAACAACAAAAAACGAAAATCAATTTAAGTGTATTTCATTTTTTTGCAATGGAATGAAAACAAACCCAATTCTCTAGTCCAAAGCTTATTGCGACCCTCAGCGCTCACCTCCTTCTCTCCCTCCACTCTTACTCACACTGACATCAATCACATATAAAAATATCTTCTAAACAAAAACACAAAAAATACTACACGACAAAAAATTTGCAACGTGGCTGCAGTAGTAGTAAAACAAAAATAAATAAATAAAAACAAACGCTAAAATTTGCAACAACGACAACAAAAATGCATTGAAATAAAAAACGTTTTTGCGAGACAGACCGACAGATAAATATACAAGTTTGTTTAGTGGTAATACAACTACAACAACACGAAAAAAAGATAAACAAATACTCACAACACCACCATTCTATGGCGAATAAATGACTGACTGCATATTCGTTGCAAAAACAACAAGAAATAATACACGACGATAGGTAAGTACGTCGTCGTCGTCGACGACGTCTTCTCCTAGTCACGAGAAGAAACAAAAAACCAAATCAACAACAATGAATGACGTTGTTGAGAGTCTCGTGTGTGTTTGTGCATGCTTGTGCTGTACCGTATAGTAGTGAATGGTATAGTGATAGTGAAGTGCAGTCTCATTGTATCTGGCTGGTTGTATCTATCTATCTAGCATGTCTTGAGGAAACCTCGACATATATACACTCTCTGGTGAATTGAGCAACGCGTCGTATATACTACGACAACGAACGAGCACGATGATGTCTATGCACACAATGTGCTTACTTGCTTGGTTTTGCTCCTCTCGCCGTCATCATCAAATACCGTCAATGCAGAGTGCAATTGTACTTTTTCGCGCCAAAAGCATTCGTTAAGACGACGACAGCAGTGTTTGCAAATTTTTTTGGAAATGATAGAGAGGGAGGTAGGTAAGCACACACAATAATACCCGGTGTGAAATGTTACGCTAGTTTGGCCCCAAGTAGTGCAGCAGCAGCAGCGGCGTACATAGAGTAAAATTTTAATCAAATCCCCTGCCTCTTCCTCTCTCTCTCGTGCATTGCAAAAAGCCCCCACCAACCCAACTCATTCACAAAATCTAAACTATTGTGCGTGGGGTGTGAGTGCGGAGAAGAGGGCAGTAAAGAGTTGGGGTAGTACCCACGCCTTTATGAATTATAAAAGCGCATGTCTGGCTCTATTATGCAGACCAGACACAACAACCAAATAGCCGACGCAGTAGTCAAACTATAACACAGAGAATGAGAGAGCAATGTCGATTTTTTGCAAACTAGATATAACCGGTATATGCACGTGGTGGATGAAGGTAGTGTGAAGAATAAAAATAAAAAAATTAAAAAATATTCTGTGAGCTTTTACGGTTATCAATTAAAAAAATGAATTAATAACCCTAAAAGTATGCTTCCATGTTTTTTAATATTTTTTGTTAACTACTCTTTAAAAGAAATATTTAAATAAATATTTTTTTAAATATTTTTTAATATTTTTAAATATTTTTTTTTTAATATTTTTCATTCTAAAAGCAAATGTCCTAAAATCCTTTGGCATTTCACCAAGGGGCCACAATGCGTTTTGGGTGTAACCGGCACAGGATAGACTAAGGTCTCTCTATTTCAGAGTATACTTTAAGGCGTTGTAGCCAAGACATGCGCAGAAGAAATACAGCATATTGTGAGAGTTGTATATCAGTTGTAATATTACAATGAGAGCGACCTCGCCTTAAGAGAAAACGCCTAATCGTAGGCAATAGTTTTTCTACGCCTAAATACATATACACAAACAAAATAATACATTAAAGAAAGAAGAAAAAAGGCGCCAAAAATCTTTAAAAAAATAATTTTAAAACTACCTATTGAATTTCAAAGAAGCTTTCGAAGTGGACGCCCCTGCCTGGTTTTTATTTTCCTAAGTAGAATGTCGCCGTATTTTTTTTATTGTACTACGACTACTGCTGCTGCCATTCTATGGTTCTAGACTTTGTGGACTTTTGAACTTTTGTCATTTTCTTGGGGTATTCGCCACAGAACGCGGTGTGTGGAGAGGGGGCCGGCTACGAAATAAAGCAGCAACTTGTGCCCACTTTCTGTATGCCGCATAATGTATTGTCATTCGACGAAATGTGTGTTGATGCCACAAACGAATGGACACCCATACACACACACAAACTAAGGCATTAATAATTTCACAACATGACGAAATATGCCGCAAAAACACACAAACGGACATACAAATAAACTTTTTTTATAATAATGGAAAAGAGAGATATGGAGAGAGGGAAACAAATAATAGCGGAAAATGACTTGGAACTTCTGGGTACACAGAGCAAAAATAATTGAATTGAAAAAAATTAATATAGAATTTTGAAAATAATTGAATTTTTTTTTAATTTGAAAAAAAAAAATTAAAAAAAAATAAATAATTTTTTTAATGTTTTTTTTTTTTTTTTGAAGTTTGAAAAAAATTACGAAATTTAATTAAAAAATCAATTACAAAAAAAAATTATATATATCACGTATACATAGTCGAAGAAAATATAAGTAAAAAAACAAAAATTTGACTTGACCAACTCACCGGAATCCGAAGGTGTCTCCAAATTTGTGCTAATATCATCCATGCCATCTTTGCAGCGTGTATAACTGTGATCACTATGCTGCATATAATTGTGTGTTAAGCCGATATTTGACGATTGACTTGAGACGGGCGATACACCACCGGCTCCATACGTGATCTCATGATCCGTTAACGATGACGTACTTAACAATTCTTCCGAATCCGAATCACAATCGTAGGAACCCATTGTTGAACAGCCGCTGCTGCTGCTACTATTTATATTTCCTCCATTTGATATTGTTGTAACCACCGCTGATGACGTCGTTGATGTGGTTTTCGTTGCTGCTGCTGATGAATCGGAGGATACATTCGAATTGATAACATCCAAAACTTCGGTTAACGAACAGCCACTTATTAAACGTGTATCGATTTGTTTTTTACTTGTATCCTGCAGTTCCTGGCTAACGTGATGGATGAAATTGTCGGGATCGGCGGTCAAGGAGATGTTATTGCTGCCCATAATGCAGGCGCGCAAATCAACATTGTGTCGGAAATCGGGTGTACAATCATCATCTAAACTGTGTGGGGTATCGGGACGCTGATAGATGGATGATGTGGATGAATTACTGCTGCAATTACTAAGGTTCAGGGAGGATAATGATGATGAGGAGCAGGTGTTGTTGTTGCTGTTGTGGATATTTAATGTGGTGGCACTGGGCAATAGCTGATCACCACGTTTGGTTGTGTGCATTGATGAGGACGACATGCTGTTACGTTGTTGCTGTTGCAATTTCTTTTGTTGCTGATAATTGGCCGATTTACGCAATAGCGAGGTACCCGGTGCAATATTTTGCATATTTGTTGTTGTCGACTGCACCTTGATATTGGGTATACTATGGGGTTCCAAATGCTGTTCCAAATCTTGTTCTTGCTTTATGCTAACAATTTCACCCATGCTATTGAATTTCTTGGCCATGACCACAGTTGGCTGGGGTCTCTGTTGCTGTTGTTGCAAGGGTCTTTGTGAATTACCCATAACCGCCGAAAGTGGTGCAGCTGAGCATATATCACTGGAAACCGACGATGCTGAGGTACTCAAAATGTTGCTATTTGGTGCCGACCACATCAGATCATTATTACGCACTTCCGGTTTAATGTCAATATCATCGAAATCCATTGAATCTACACATGACGAGGAGTAATCGCTGTTACCAAGATCGGCTTCCATTTTTTGTATGTCACCATATATAGAGGGCATATCGAATGTATCGGACATATCGAATGTATCGGCACTAATGCAATAATCATCGGCAAAGTAATTCGGTACCAAATCGTTGAAAGTAGAAAATACTGGGGGTGATGACCCAAACGGACTGCATAATTTTGCCATTTTGTCGAGTTGTTGTTGTAGTTCCAAATTATCACAAATAAATAAAATTGTTGTGTTTGGTTGTTTTTGTAATTTTTTAACGACGTAAAAAAATATATATTTTGATGTTTTTGTGGTTGTAGTTTTGTTTATATGCTATTGTTGTATGTTATAGTTATGTATATGTAATATAAATATTTTTAAGGGGGTTTTGAGAAGATACCAGATCCTCTTGTTTTGTTTTGTTTTTATAGTTTAATCAATAAACTGAAAATAGAAAAAAGAAGAAAAATGCACCAGAATTATAAATTTTGTAAAGAAAATAATTTATAATATAATTTTTAATATTAAAAACTAATTAAAATATAATATTTAGATTGTTTAAAATATTAAATTTTGTTCTATACGAATTTGAAGATTTTCTTCTACACAAACAAAAATATATTTATTTATTTACATTTTTTATTATTTTTTTTTTAATTTTTTATTATTTTAAGTTTTTTTATTTTTTTTTCTTAATTTTATTATTTTTTTATTTTTTTTAATATTTTTTTTTTTTAATTTTTTAGTATTTCATTTTTTATTTATAATATTATATATTATATTTATAATTTTATTAATTATTATATTCTTTATTAATTTATTATTTTATTTTAATTACTTTATTTTTCATAATATTATGTAGGGGAGAGGGGGGCACCTTTGAACACTTTTTGCTTTCAAGCCTTTAAACATTTTTTATTTTATAATTTTTGGTGTCTTATAAATTTTAACTAATAGGTTCATATGTAACCTTTAAAATGAGTATACATATGACATACTATAAGCTTGATAAATATATTTTATTACGGTTTTAATTCAAAGTGTTTGCCCCCCCAGGGGGGCAGCTTTGAACAGTAATTGGCATTTTTGAACGACATGGTTTTTTACAGTGTTTATGTTCAAATATGTATGTATTTTATTCATACATATCATAAATTCATTAATTCATTAAAAATATATAAAAAATGTTCAAAATTTTAAAAATTTAGATCAAAAGTTATTAAAACATAAAATGACTTAAAAACAAAAATTAATATGGTGAAAAATACATTTAATTTCGTAATCATATTAGCCCATTTGAAATTTTGAGAAATCGAAGCCAAAAGTTAAAAACTCCTTTTTTTACTCGAGTTTAATGGGCATGTTCAAAGGTGCCCCACCCATGGCATTTTACGGAAATTTAAAATAACTTTTTTTGTAATAAATATATATGAAAGAAATTACATTAGTTATGTTTGAAATGATTTTTGGAATGCAAAAAATTTGTTTGACGAAAGAAAACTATCACAGAATTCTTCCTGCGCCCTTACAACCAAATGAATAAAAGTTTACAATTACACTGAGAAAACATGGTCACCCATGGACAATTTTTCGACAACTGAAAAAGCAAGCCAAAGTGGTTTACGCATATAGAGAACAAGATTGCCATATACAAAAATGTGGTTGCGGGTCGGAAAAATATTAAACCAAGATTTTATGAGCGCTGTTCAAAGCTGCCCCACGTTCAAAGGTGCCCCCCTCTCCCCTAATTATTTGCATTTCTTTCTAAAATGTTTCTAATGCAATTTACACTAATTGCGACACATTTGCTGTCTCCTCTCTAAACATAAATACCGTCATTGCCTTTAAAAATCTCTTATTTGACATTTTCAATACGCCTTCATTAAAGAAGCGAACATATGCATGCATACAGTAGCTCTGCAACATCCGACACCCACTATTAAAACAGGGAAGTATAGTAAAAACAATGCAAAAAATCTCTGCATTACAATCTATAATTCCTCTATATGTCGTCATTATCCAATAACAACAACCATTTTTCTCAGACAACGGCTCATCAACGTCATCAAAACCCACCCACACATAATGGTTGGTGGTGATCGATTGAGATTCTTCAATAGTAGTGGTAGTATGGCATGTGTGCAAAATTACATAGATCCGTTAACCTCCAGACATTATAATAATTTCTCTTCCTTAAACTACATTGATGTTCTCTTCTCCCCCACCACTCACTCAATAAGCTAAGATATATCCCCCAACCACCAACAACAACAATCATAACAAAACAAGTGGCGTTCGGTTGTGCATTGTTCTTTGTTGCCGACTGCATTTGTAATAATAATAACAACAAACGAACACTGTCATTACACAACCAACACAACACAATAGAGAAAGGCTTGACTATGGCCGTCGTAATTGTCGTCGTCTTCTTGGGGAGAGGAGTATACATTCGGCCTTAAGGCAAGAGTAAGGAGAAAAAACAAAGAATAAAGAGATTTGATTTCAGTGCAGTTTTTTGTTGTTATTAAATTATTTGCAATATGTGTGATTTCTAATGCACCATTATTGCGGCAGGGGAGAGAGAGCGGCATTGTTGTGGAGAGCAGAGTGGGGATAAAAAGAACAAGGTGTAAATGACTTGTTGTATGTGGGCAAAAAAAGAAAAATAACAATAAGACCGGGAAAACATATGTTACAAAGGTTATAGGAACGACGAACAACATGGGAGACAAGTGAAATAGAATATTAGGTGATGTGTTGTTGTTGCCTTTTTTTGCGGATTTGTTGTAATAATGACCATTGGTGGGAGCCACACTAAATTAATTGTAATGTGTAAGTGTCATGTATAGATGATGCCATACAACGACATGGACAACAACATCCCGAGAGTACATTTTATGTTTTCTGGATTCCCTTTTATGTTCTATTTAAAGAAGCTAACATGGACGGCGACGACGCCAATATGATGATGATGACGATGACGCCGTTGTAATATTATTTTTTTTTTTGCCATGTCTGTGTTTTGGTGGGCGTTTAGTGGTATTTTGTTTGAAATAACAGTAATTCGTTGTTATGTTTTAACGATTTTGAGGTTGTTTTGCAAAAAATAAAAAAACACGAACGTTATTTTTAAATGTTTTGTTACAGTTGTTGTTGTTGTTGGTGATGGATTTTTGGCGCCTAGTTAAGCCCCCCCAGTTGATCACACAACAATCACGTTAGGATAGAAAAAAAACACAATTGTTAAGGTGGGATTGACCATCACACAACACGACATACAAATGGCTGTGTGGCTTATAATTTACTATAGATTAAAATTTTTATTTTAATCTTTTTAATTGAAGCTTTTTTGCTCGGTTGTTGCTGTTGTTGTATTCCAATCAATAATTAGCATTAATAATGCACTAATGACTTTTTTTAACGTCACTGTATATTTGTAGAGATGTGTGTGTTTGTGTGTTGATTTGTAGTATAAAATTAATAAGAAAAAATAACAACAACAAGAATACTGTAAACATGATAATTTTTGTAAATAAAAAAATTCTTGGAATCTATAATCAGAGGAATTTTTCATTAAAAAATAAAATAGGGAAAGAAAATAGCATGACGAATTTTTTATAAATAAATATACAGACATGAAGAAAACTATAAATAATTAAAATTACTTAGAATTTATGAAATAAAAATAGAAAAATGTCGTATAGAAATGTAATATTTAAAAAAAAATAAAAATTTGTATCAAAAAATAAAAATTTTAGTTAAAAAAATAATAATTATTTAATAAATTAATTTTTTTTTTAAAAGTTAAAATTTTTTAATAATAAAAAAATTATTAAAAAAAAGTTACTTTGTACAAAATATAAATTTTTGGAAATAAGAATTTATTTATTTATTTTTTGCCACAAAATATTTTATTTTTTATTCTAATAATTTAAATTTTTAGAGAAAGAGGTGTCCTTTTTTTATTTTAAAATATTTAAAAATATCACAAAATGCAAAAAAAATATTCCACTTTTTCGTTTAAAGGTGCAAGATCACAATATTTGCATATGTGTGCATGCATGAATGCATTAATTTCACAAACGAGCCAAACTAAGCGCGCACTTTTTGCTAATAAATAATCACAACAAACACAAAAAACCCCCGAGAGACGAAGGCAAACAAAAAAGGTAAATAAACAAAACTTCGTTTAGTAAATGCACTGCACAGCAACAACAACGCATTTAATAATAATAATAAACACTTTGTGTGGGGGAGGAGTAAGGTGTGTGTGAGTGCTCTCTTCTTTTACATATAACAGTGGTTGATCTCATCTCACTAGCCACACAAATTTTAATAAACATAAACACTTGGAGGAGGAGGAGAAGAAGATGGAGCAATGCAATTGAAGTTGAGAGTGCAATACTGTTGTTTTTGTTGTTGACGATGGGCACTACACACAACAACTACTCTCATCAATATTTAGGTGATGCGTTCGTTCGTGCAGGCAATGTAAATAAACACGATGTAATCGATCGATCATTCACAATAATAAAAGAAAAAGAAGCAAAAAAGAGTGTCGTTGTCGTTTCAAAGGAATTTTTGTGCCGTTAGAATTTTTGCCATTTTCTTTTTTTAGTTATTTGTTTATTTTTTTCACAAAAATATGTAAAGACGACAATTGATGTTATGTTATGCACTGTGTTTTAAAGTGGGGTTTATTTAGTGGGGGATTTCAATTGCTTTTGTAGTTTTTTTAATTAAAATAAATGTAAATATTGGGGTAGGTCTGATCAAAACAAAAAAAATACTCTATTTTTAAGAAAATTATTACGAAAATATTTTCGATCATTTTGACAAAAAAAACAAAATATTAATGTATTCCTCAACTAAAATTCTAGCTATGGGGTTAAAACCGAAAAAATTAATTAGATATCAAAAAATCGAAATACAGTAAAAACTCGCTAATCCGGATAATTGATTGCAGACCCCAATCCGGATTACCGAGATTTCCGGATTATCGAGTTTTATTAATTGATTAAAATTTATATTAATTTGGTGATAATTTAATTATTTTTATGTTTTTATTAAAAATGAAAATTTTTCATTTCAAAAATATGAACTTTGAATATAATAGGTACCATTTTTTCTTAAAATAAAAAGTAACATATCTTTACAATCCGGATTTTTGAGAAAATCCGGATTATACGCAATGGGTT